TTGTGCCTTGGGTAAAGACTTTTTTAAAGGCTCTGGATGTGCACTTAAGTTGTGTAGAATGGTATTTCTATCCGTGTCTTTTTTATAGAGGCAATATGAAAGTCCTTGTTCCTTCAACGAGATTTCCAAATCCAAGAATTGTATTGAGGTAGTGTCGATCTTTGATGTAAATCTAATAGGGCTATTTATCTGGTTCAAGGAATATATCATTTCTTCTGCTTCTGTCACATTGCCTCCCCATAATATCAACAAGTCGTCGATATAGCGAAAGTATCCTTGTATGAAATGACTGTACCTTGTTAAAATCCATCTTTGTTCGTAGTCATACATGTAGGCATTGGCATACATGGGAGCCATAGCGGCCCCCATGGATGTGCCAGAAGTCTGGAGATACCATTTGTCCTCAAATCTGAAGTAGTTGTTATGTAGTACCAATGATAGTAGCTCTAAGACAAATTCAATAGGTGGTCCACTATATGATTTCGAGGAAGTGAGAACAGATCTCATCGCTTGAATTCCTTCCATGTGTGGAATCACCGTGTAGAGGCTACTAACATCCATTGTAATTAACGTCGTTGTACCACTCTTCAGTTCCAGTTGCTTCAATTTCTGAATGAGACTAGGTGTGTCCTTGATACAGGTATTCAATTCAGCTATGGGAGGCTGAAATAGAAAATCAAGCCACTTAGCAATCGGTTCTAATAGACCCTCAATCGCGGAAACAATAGGTCTGCCCGGGGGTCTGATTGGATCTTTGTGAATCTTAGGCAGGGTATAGATTATGGGTGTCCGAGGATGTGTTTTTAAGAGATATTGACTGAGCTGTGGATCTATATAACCTGCTTCCATGCCCCTCATAACAACTGCTTCAACGTTTTTCTTGATTGATTCCGTGGGGTCCCCCCTCAATAATTGATATACTTTCTCGTTTGAGAGCTGTTGAGTTAATTCCTCTGCATATTGTGCATAGTCCATGACTACTATGCCACCTCCCTTGTCAGCCGGACGAATGGCCAAAGAATGATCATTAGCCAAATTCTTTATACGTTGCATTTGTCGAGAAGTGACATTCCTATTTTTACATTTATGATTCTGTATAGTTTCCTGCATAAGATGGTTGACTGTAGAGAGGTAGGTTTTAATAGATGCTTTGTTCGCATAAGGATCAAAAGTAGATTTTAATTTGAATTGTGAACTTTTTTCTTGTTCCATGGTAGTATTAGAGGTTTTAGCAAAGTTGTAACTAATATACACATTAATATACATGTCATATACCAGTGACGGATCCAGAGCCTGAGCCTGAGAGGGGCACTTGTAGATTATTTAAAGAAATATTCCATGCACAATAACCACTACTCCTCTGTGTAGTGGTTATGGTGCCAGGAGTGTCGACACCCCCTCCCAGAGTAAGTAGTCAAACCGTTTAAGAACAGTTTGACAACTTACCTGGAGTCTGCTGGGATATGGGGCTGTAGTAGGGTATAGGAGCAGTGGTGCAATGTGTGTGAAAGGTTCAGTGTGTGGGTGGGCAGTGTGTAAATGTGTATGGTGTGTGTGTGGGGGGGCAGTGTGTGAATGTGTATGGTGTGTGTGGGGGGCAGTGTGTATGGTGTGTGTGTGTGTGGGGGCAGTGTGTGTATGGGGCTAGAGTTCACTCCTACTACTGGGACCACCAGGAAGTGGTGAGAGTGAACTCTAGCCCGTAGCTCCAGGGCTAGAGTTCACCCTCGTGAGAGCCGGAGTTGCCCCGGGTCCTCTCTTTCTCCCCTTCACTGCTCCTCTGTGTCAATGTCTCCCCTCTCCTTCCCAGTCTCTCTCTTCCCCCTCTGCCTCTTTCTTCCCCTCCCCTTGTGTGTCTCTCTCTCATTTCTCCCTCTTTGTCTCTCTCTTCCCCTCTGCCTCTTTCACCCCCTTTCCCTGTGTCTCTTCCTCCCCCTTTCCCTGTGTCTCTCCCTCCTCTCCATCTCTCTCCCTTCCCCCTTTCCCTGTGTCTCTCCCCATCTCTCTCCCTCCCCCCTTTCCCTGTGTCTCTCCCTCCTCCCCATCTATCTCCCTCCCCTTTCCTGTGTCTTTCCCTCCTCCCCATCTCTCTCCCTCCCCCTTTCCCTGTGTCTCTCCCTCCTCCCCATCTCTCTCCCTCTCCCCATCTCTCTCCACCCCCCTTTCCCAGTGTCTCTCCCCTCCTCCCTCTATTCCCCTCTCTGTTTCATTCCCCCCCATTCCCCTCTCTGTTTCATTCCCCCCATTGCCCTCTCTGTTTCATCCCGCCCCTATTCCCCTCTCTGTTTCATCCCCCCCTATTCCCCTCTCTGTTTCATTCCCCCCTATTCCCCT